CCTGATTCCACGGAAGTCAATGATAGTTCGAAGCCCATTGTCTTGGTCACAAATAGTGATGGTATTGGGTCTCCTGGCCTCACTTACTTAGTTGAAGCTCTTGTTCGTGAAGGCCTTTACAATGTTCATGTCTGCGTTCCTCAATCGTGGGTTTTTTTTTTTTCCCATCTTGATTTATTCATTGTGCTCTGATTTTTGTTGGATTGTTCATCGATATTTTCTATTATGCCTCTTTTGCCTCATACATTTCAGCTTCCGGGTTTAGTGCTTCATTCTGCATTTGCATTATGTTTTCTGTCATCCCCACATATCTCTCGCGTTGTTATTAATCTGGGGTATCGTTATAATTTGTTAGTTTATAAAATGGTTGCTTTAGGGACAAATCAGTTTCGGGGCACTCTGTAACTATCAGAGAAACGGTGGAAGCAAGGTCTGCTGAAATTGATGGTGCCACGGCCTTTGAGGTTTCAGGTATGACATGTTCGTTTTGCTCCTATTTCTCGCCCTCCCCTCATCTAGGTCTCAAAAAGACTTGAGGAGGCTGCAATCAGGCTTAATTTGTCTGGGAGTTAAATTTGTTCGGAAATCATGCCTTTTGAAGAATTGAAGCTCCGTTAGATCACGTGCTATTCGTCACATTCTCTTAGTGCTAATGAGATTCTACATGTATCATGTTCGTGGGTGCATTGATGTGACTTTTCTGGTCTTACCCTAGTTGTCGAAGAGATCTTTAAAAAAATGATCGTAATCATCCTCAACATCACTGAAAAATAAATCTGACTATTGATTTTTTTTCTGATCGTAGCTGAGCTGATACTTTAGAGTTTCATAACCTTTTTGCAGGTTTGCCGTTTCATAGTCGTGGCTTTTCATACGTCAGAGTTGCACTAATTTCTTATTCTTTTTGTAATTTATGCTTTATTCAGGAACTCCTGTGGACTGTGTTTCGCTCGCCTTATCTGGGGCATTGTTTTCATGGTCAAAGCCTTTGCTGGTTAGTTTTTATATCATAACATTATGCCTATGCCATAATCAACATACTGAAGAATATAACATGGTATGCATTTTAGGTTATTAGTGGAATCAACCGGGGATCTAGCTGTGGTCATCACATGTAAGTTATTTGCCACTGCATATAGAGGAACTTTTTAAATACAAGTTTGAGGATACATACCCCCCCCCCTTTCCATTCTGTTTTATGGTGTCATTTATAGCGTTCTACATATCTTCAACACTTATATCATTAATGCCCAAGGCCAACGTTTATCTCATGCTTTAGAACACTCCAGGTTCTACTCAGGTGTTGTTGCTGGAGCTAGAGAGGCGTCATTAAGCGGTGTACCATCATTGTCAATATCATTGAACTGGTACTTTGATGGTTTGCTTTTGTATCTAGTTTGACCTGAATATTTCTGCTGGAGGGTTATGAATTGACATCATATCACGTAGGAAGGAGGAGGAAAGTCAAGAAACAGATTTCAAGGATGCAGCGGGAATCTGTTTACCATTAATAAATGCAGCTATCAGGGATATTGAGAACGGAACTTTTCCCAAAAGTTGCTTTCTGGATATAGAAGTTCCTGCGTCTCCTTTGAGAAACAAGGTTTAGAAAGTTGATTGTTATTTGGATTATTTATTCAAATATTTTGCCGTGTTACAGAGATACTTATAGAAAATATTGAGTGAGAATTTTGTTTGATAATCAACTTCCAATCCAATCTCTATATAGATGTTTCGTTTGTGCTTTTAATTATTTTTCCCAGGTGCAAAGGCATTAGCTTACCCAAGTTCTAGATGCTAGAGGAACAGTTAATGTTGTGTGACTCCTGTCATTGATTGTTGTTTCTATTTATTTAATGTTTGCAGAGTCACTTCCTTTCCGTGCTACAATCAGTGATGCACTTGTTTGAGTTCTGAACTGTTTAGCTAGGATATTGCAGTTTCCTTGGATTATCTGTCCACAATAAATGTATAGTGTTAGGATATTTGTGCATCATTGTTTAGGATATTTGTGATTCTATCTCTGCGTTGAATCTCTTGGTTGTTTGAACTTATGCTATTAACTAAACTGCATCATTGTTTGAACTTATGTTTTGTGGTTCTAATGTGAATTTGGTGTTCAATAGTTATTTTGTGCAGGGCTATAGTCTATATCAAATATATTATCCTCGTTCATCTTGTTCTTGAATTTAAGATTCAAGATCTTGGGTTCCTTTTTTGGCTGCATTATTTTAATCAAACATGTTGATTATCTTGTCTATTTATCATGCTTTATTTTGACGGTTTGACCTGTATGGCGAGCTACCTTTGTCCCTTGGAATTGGATACAATTATAGTTCAAACACAAGCATTTCATTATTTCCTGTCTCTGCAAGCTTGTTTTTTACATGGACGGTGTGTTATTTTATTGGCAGGGTTTCAAGTTGACCAAGCAAAGTACTCAACGATCCACTGCAAACTGGCAAGCAGTTTCAACTAGTCGATATCCTGTTGGTCATTTCTTGAACAACCAACAAGGCCTTGGCCTTAAGTTTGCACAGCTCGGCCTAGATGCCTCTGCTGCTGTGAGTGTCAAAAAAATTTAATAGTTGTGTTGCGTCTACCCATCTGGTATAATCCGAAGGGCTTTCAGTACATCTGTTGATTTTATTATGCTGATATTTTAGCCTTCCTCATCTTGGTATGCTTCAGGGTGCAGCACGTAGACTGACTACACAGAAAAAGAATTTGGAGATTGTTGAATCTATTGGAGCTGCAGGAAAACCTGATTTCAACAGGGTAAAGAAGTACTTCAGACTAGAGGTAAATAAAAGGGAAGAATGTCATCTTGTGAGAATTCTGTTAATGAAATAAGATATCTTTTTATATGCTGAACACGGAAGATAGTAATTCGTAAAGAAGAGTTTATTGTAGAAATGTTTTTGTTTCCCTAGTCACATATGGTTCAGGTTGCTATCTTTTCACCCGTGCATGCGTAATTGTAGCTCTTAAATGTCTTTCTTGGAAGTATACAACTTGTTCATTTCCTCATGGTAAAAGCAAAGATATCTGTATGGCATTGAAATGTCTTGACGCTGTTTGTAGAAGTAAACTTAGCCATACTCTACTTATATACGCAGTTTTTGGGTAAGCAGCACGAAGATATAGATGAGGACCTCGATTACCGTGCACTTGAAAGTGGATTTGTAAGTTGGAGCATTGCCTCATCTTCATTGGTTGGATTGTCTCGAGTTTTCACCAAGATTTTTTCAGAAAAATTTAGTGTGGGTCTTATGCATTGCATGTTAGTGACTCAGTAATAGTGTGACTTACTGGATCTTTATATGAAATAAGTTCGTATAAGATGGAAGGGAAAATATATTTCTTAGTCCCTAACTTTGTTTTAATTATCAATTCAGTCTCTAAAATTTGACTCGAGTCGGAAAAAACTTATTCCTTGTGGTTTCTTTAAAACTAACTTATTTTGAGTGGTGAAACTGCAGAGATTGAGTTGTTCTGAATCAAAGTTAAGGAAGTGAATCAATCATTAATAAAAGGTGTCATAAACCAAAATTCATATTTTCCCAAGATTAAACAATCAAAGGAATGACAAAGAAATATGAGTAAACAGATCAGAAACGTGTTCCATCAAAAACTCTGCCTTGACATGTTCATGCATGTTCTTGTGTCAGTTTTATAATTATATTTTCTCAATGGACTGATTTTATCCAATATTCTGCCTCCTTTGTATTGCCTCTGACTCATTATGAAATCTGTGATTTGGAGGAGCAGGTTGCTGTGACTCCCCTCTCTCTTTCTCCTCATATTGAGACTGACATCCAAATGGCAGCTTCTGATTGGATCTCTGCCGTGTTTGCCACAGAACAATGATGTAGAATTTCAGCGTGATTGTGTACATTTGAGAGTTTTATGAATATTTTTTTCTCTTTTTTCTTACCTTTAAAAGCAAAGATGGAGTGGAAAGAGGGAGTCACGCCAATTTAATAGTGTGTTTGATTCCGGTACTGATCTGATCTGTTTTTGATGTTTTATTCCCTTTGATTCCTTTGTTTCATTGTTTCAGTTCGTTTTGGTCACATTTGATGTGAAGCAAATGCTTCCTTGTAGTATCATAGCCATAGGCGTGTTGTAACTTGAGTCTGTAGTAAAACTTCGGAACTGTAGTAATATGTAGTCTAAGTTTGGTTCTTTGCTTTTTTATTGAATTCCCTCTGGGGCTGGAGCATTCAACCACTTGATATGTGACGGTTCCTAACTCTAGTTATTTGCTTCCATAGTTTTGATGGAAATAGTTAATCTCCCCTTCTTTTTTTATATGTGAGACGAGTTAGATAAATTAATTTTTAAAAAATGATAAATATGAAATATAGAAATGAATTAAATATTTTGGCCGTTTTGGGGACCAAATTAACTTTCTAACTATTCAACATAATTAATGACAATGAGCATACTTCTTGGATTTTAAATATAAACCAGATAACTAATTTATATAAATTCAAAAAATTAGTAAAATTAGTTGTGAAAGTATGTCAGTCTTTCTAAAATATTTCTTATTTAAATGATTTACATTGTGAACTATTTTTATCAATTTATGCTTAATAAGTGCCATCAATTAAAAAATTTAAAATAATAATAAATATAACTGCCACGAGAGATTTCCCTTTTGAATATATTCTTAAGTATGAAGTGATGATTTTTTTTTTGCCTTGAAAAATGGATGACTTTGTATGCTCATTCAAAATGACAAATAATTTGATTGTGCCTATTGCCTAGAATTTATATTTCATTTTTACACTTTTTTTGCGGATATATATGCATAAAAATAAAAGAAATGAAATTACGTTTGTCAAAATTATCCCCGCTTTGGAAAGTCTTTTTTAATCCCTGGGCAAATCGGCGGCGGTTCTTTTGGGTCGGACCGTTCGACCCGAATTGAATACCACGTTGCTCTGGTCCAATTTCTTCTTCCTGCTGCTTCTTCTCAATAGGGTTTAGGAAAGCTTGAGGATTTTCATACCGAAATGGCATCGAAAACGTTTCTCAGAATTGGCACTTCAATGTTCAATCGGGTTTCTAATTCATTTCTTCCCCAAGCGCTGTACTCGACTGACAAAATTGCTTCTCGTAGCCTCGATATCACTCCCAGGCTATTCCCATCCGTCTCCAAGCTCCCTAGTTCTTTCGAGATGCCCAATAGCGAACTCCAACATCTCAGCGAGTTCTCCTCAGGTGGCATCGTGTATCCTTGCGGCCTGCCCTCGCTTCGGTTCTTCTTACCCGACGGTACATTTTAACGTCGAATGTTTTTCAAATTTAAAATTTCATTGGCATGAGATGTTAATGATCTGATAGCCTTTTTTTTTTTTATGTGTTTCTATCTTTAAGAAATAGTTTGAAATTTAAAAAGATTAATTTATGGTAACCTTCTTGCTTTATATGTTAATTGGATTACTTGCAGCTTCGATTTTAGTTGGATAATTCACCTCTTTATGTAATCATCAAATTAACATTAACTTTGAGAAATAAAAGCTTCTATTTAGTTGCAAGGTACAACTTTTTGACAAGGAATCAGGATATTTCGAGGTGAAATTTTTTGGTCCTTGTTGTTTAAATAATGGCAACATCAACATGTTGCTCGAGGGATTTTTTTTTTTTTTTTTTGGGGTTGCCTTGTGTATATTGAGGAGCAATATTGCTTGCACATTTGATAACTACGACACGCTCAAAGTTCCCATGCTAGCCAACATTTGTCATGAAATGAGGAGATAATTACCAAGAAGGTGACTTTATTTGAATTCTTCTTTTTCCTTTTCTTTTCATTGTTCTGCAGGGGCTGGTTCATCAGAAGAGCCAATGCTCTTATTTCCGAAAAGAACATTCCAACCTAGCCTTATACGGCGAAAGAGAAATCATGGATTTTTTGCCCGGTAAGCCACTCAGGTTTTTTCTTTTTGGCTACATTCTTCTTATATCATAAGATAGCAAGAATAACAAACTCTAACGTACTCGTTAAATTGTAGAGATCTGGCACACACTGTAACGTCACTTGAAAATATTCTAATGTAAAGGACTACAATTATACGGGGAAGTAGAAGGAACCATATTGTTTCTCGATAATTATGTCTTACTTTGACTTGTTAGACCTACAGATACAGACTAACACAGATGGAAGATAATGTGGGAAATCAAACCTTCGATGAAGAAAGAAAACATATGCCTTAACTGAATATAGATATCTAAACTGTGTTTGCTCTGAAATTTTCATAGACTTCAGTAGATAATGTGGGTGTCATCAACCATTTCCTAGAAGCTTTATTATGACTAAAGAGTGATAGGCCGAATGGGCTTGGACTTCTGGCCACGACCCGTCAAAATGAGTGCATGCCATTAGGGCGGAGGACTACTTGCTACATTACGTTTCTGAAATTTAGATTTGTCTGACCTTCTATGTATAGTTTAAGGTGTAGAATTGTAGAAGAAAATAGAATCTGTTAAATTTGTATGGCTGATGTACAAACATCAGCACAGGTTCATATACAGTAATGTGCACATGTTTATGACACCATGTTATTTTTCTTCTTGAGCAGCAAGGCAACCAAGGGTGGCCGAAAAGTCATTGCTAGAAGAATAGCGAAGGGCAGGTCAAGGATTACAGCATAGTCAATCTGATGCTTCTCCAGCGCATTGGATCTTTTGATTTACTTTGAATTTTCTTGCATTCCATGTTAAATACCCTGCAAACCAGGACAAGTTGAATTAGCTCTGGTGCCCTTCTTTTTTTCCCCCCAAGTGTGGGGGTTCTAGGGCGTTGGTGATCTGTGATGAATCAACCTTTGACAATCTGTTGATTGCCCAATGAGCATGCCAAAATATTCTTGAGTCAATCTCCACTTGTATTCCTAACACATACGGATTGCCTTTGAGCATGTTCAAATTCAATTAGTCATCTTTCATGCCTATTAGTACAAATGATCTGGTTTGGTGTAGTGACTGCTGTATCTCATGAAATTAAAAATACATACCAAAAGATCTCAAAAATGTCAAGAAGCCAGAATAAATATTCAAAGATGGTAAAAAAGGTAAGCTAACCCCATCTGGTATCTTCAAGGAATATGAAGGAGGGAGTAGTGCAACAAACAAATTAGTATAGATTAGTACAAAGGTGGAACTTGAGTGTAATAGAAAGATTGTATGTCTGTGCAGAAGGTGTAAAAGGGACAGTGGAAAAAGGAAATTTTTTGTGAGATGAATGTGGGGAAAAGAAAGTTGAGTGTGAAGAAACAGTTTCCATGTTCTATTCTTTTGTCATGTTTTTGCGTGCAGGTTGATTTACAAAGGAGAAAAGACGGGAGTAAACAGTGGGGATTCCCCCAGCCAACATGACCCATAAGACATTGATTTAAGATTCTGAGTGATGATGGAAGCAGAGAGAGTGATTTGATTTAGATGCAAAATTAGGCCACTTTCTGTCATGAGGCAAAGTGTTGCTGAGATTCCACGGACAAAGAAAAGAAGCAAAGAACTCCCCACTTCCATAAACATGGGCCCTTCCATTATTTAGAAAACCGGGACACTAATGCCCTTTATTGAAAGACTTCATTTAAATATTATTATTTATTTGTAACTTTTCTCTCTTTTTTATTCATCTGCCCGCTGATTGAAAGTTAATTATCTACGCATCTAGTCTTTTTGTTAACTCATTTCAGCATATTTTGATTTACAATGACGTGATCTTCATTATCCATTATATTATCTTTTAATAACTGTATCATATAAGAGAGTGTATTCACGGACTATTAATTTGCGAGAACAACCCTTTTAATAGTTTTTCAATAAGATAAATATGGTCAAAAATTTTTGGCCTCCTTTGATGACTATGACAAAAGCTTTAGTTAATGATGTCTACTTTTCAAAATCTGAAATTTGCTTTTTATTCTTAAAATTATTTTCTTTTGCTGTGTTATAATAATATCTTTGACTCTTTTTAAGCATATATTAAGAAACAAAAGAAAAAAACTTAAGAAAATAGCATACAAAATAATAATGGACCAAATGCATTGTATTAAGAAACATGTACAACCACAAACCTGCCATGGAATTTTTTTTATCCATTATTATTTTGCATGCTATAACACTGCTCCTATTTTAATGAAAAATTTAGCAATAATAGAAAGGGGCTACAAATTAATTTAGCAAATATAATGTGATTAAAATATTGTCTTTTTTTTTAAGAAAATGAAATCATTTACATCTTTTTCTTTATTGCCTTTTTTATGACAATAATTGCAATCAATAAAGAATATTATTTAAATTATGAGAATCTCGGCTTTTGAACAACACACTATTTTGACCAGATCGATAGTCGATGGCACCATGAACTAGGGAATATTGTGTTTTTCTAGTAATGTACAATTAGTAGTAAATATTTATTCTATATAATTTACTACTCTTACGATTATGCTCTTTAATCACACAGCAATTATTTTAAGATAATTGTTTTAACCTGTCCATGTAAATTTCATGAAACTGAAAAATAATGTGATCAAAAGAACTTAATAGTATTAATTCTATTAAAAAAGGTGGAATATTTCCATCATGACAACATCCAAGTCTTCCTCTAGTTTCTCTTTTCAATTGAATTTTCTAAATTGCATTATTATTATTATAAAAGTCGAAATGAAAATTTTCCAACTTCTAACCCCCACCACTCTTTATTCCATCAGGAGACACTGGAAGTGACATTTTGTTGCTATTCTCTTCCATAAAGTTGAACCAATTTAGAAGCAACATTAGCTCCAAGTAAAGCAAAACGCAACGAAAGGACTTATCCTCACCAAATGCAAGCTAGACGGTGCAAAAGTAATTTAACTATTTCAGGGTAAAAGTTAAAAGCTCACAGTACATAATGTAATTACTGGAGGTAATTACTGGAGGTAAATTATATACCTTCTGTCCTAATCATAAAATCTTATTTATAATCTATAAACGAAGCCTTATAATTAAGATTGAAAGTAGTACTAAGTTACTAACTCTTTTTCCTAATATAAAGTTACTTATTAATTTAAATATTAAATAAATTAATTAGTTAAGTTACTTATCTGTAATAAATAGACCCCTAAGGTATCCTTTTTCATCTTGACTACCTTTCAATGAAAACTCTCAATATATATAATCAATATGAATACCATGGAGAATGAATTATGATTTGGAAGAGAAAGTAGATTGAGATATTATATTTAGGATCAAATCCTACTCTCAAATAGTTCTTATATAAATTAAAGGATTTGAGATTGTAATTTTTTTTATGACTTGTAAACTAATGACACAAAAGCCCTGTTGTAATTTGTAAATGACGGGCAACAAATTCAATTCCCACTTATAATATTAGGCTGCTAGATCTTGTTCATCTAATTTTTAAAAATAATTCTAATTTTCTTTTCTAAACAAGTTATCTTTTTTTTCTTGGACTCAATTCTAACAAGTTATCATTTGCATAATTCTTAGAGACATATTAATATATGTCCATCATAAGTCCAACGTACGCCAGAGGAATCTTGGTAACTTTCACAGTTTCACTTGAATTGATGTTCTCTTTCTGGTCAGAAACGCTTGAACTAATGTTTTCAAAGCGTACAGTTTCAACATGATGAGTGTCACTTTGAAAATTTTGTAATTTTACACAATATTTACTATTCAATTTAGAGATTTAATAAAATATTAATTAAGTTTGTGCCTTTTTGAACTCCATTAATAGAAATAATTAAGTGGGGCATAAGAAATAAGAATATCTAACATAACAATTAATATTTTCATTAAATAAAAATGAAGCTATAGTAACTTTGAAGCTTTATAACTAAAAATATTTCGACTAAGGCACTTCTTGTTCTTTTAATTTATATAAAAATTTAATTCAGCATTTATTGTATAAAGTATTTTTTCAGTTTTTGACGTAATACATTTTTGTCTCAAATAATAACTTTTGCGTTAATCATTATTTTTTTTTATAAAAAAAACTTAATATACATTATTATTTGTGAATATTTTGTTTATATTTAAAATTTTAATATTATCATTTCTTAAATAACTAACATATTACTATGATCAACATAGTTACCAGACTAAAAAGATGTATTTACAAGATTAAGATATATGAATGAAACCACTCTAAGTAAAGTTAAAAAAGTGCAAAAAATGTAAAACAAAATCATTCATTAATTTGGGACGTGAGAAAGTCGATATTTAAACTTTTAAAGCGATATAGCCGCCAGAGCACCATGGCTAGGCACCTTACTAGGTGGCATTGTGAAGGACACTTTGGCCTCTAGCGCTTAAGAGTTGACCATCGTATCTTTGTACGGCTTTTGTCTTCGTTCAACGTCATCAGCCATTAATGCCACAGACAAACAAACACACACACACACCACAGCGCTTTGAAGCCAGACATTGTTCAACCCCAGGTACGTGCACATCATCAAGGGACATGATTGGCATATAAATTATAAATAAACATACTATGAAGAGTATTCCATAGGAGTATATAGTACGAGGGAAAAAAATTCAAATTAATCGATTGAGCTGACAAACATGTGAAACAACCTAAGACATGTCACCGATAATGGAGGAGGATACTGACCTAGGAGCAAACTAGGTTTTCCATTGGACAAAACTCTCACTTCCCCCTCTTATATATACGCAAAACTTCAAGACATTGCTAAATGCATGGCAATGATCAGTTCATATATAATAATATAACAACAAACAAACACACACACAAATCAAGAAAATGAAACAAGAAACATCGGATTTCCCATATTATTCGGCCATATGTATTTAAATAGACAAAATAAAAGCTCCTATATTCTCTCATGCATATATTATACTCAAGGCTCCAAGCTGGATGGAAGAATAGGGTTTGTGGCGGAGGGCGGCAACGATGATAGGATTGCATCAATGTACTCCATTTGATTGGCTGAGAAAGTATGGTGATCTTGTTGTGGGGAAAAAAGAGATGATGGTGGGTAACACTGGATTCCGGCAAGAGAAGGGTCCTGTAATAAGTCTTGTGAATAAGAAGATGATGATGGGACTGCATTACTACTGCTCATCAACACATAATCCTCAAAGCTATTACAGATTTTGGGCACAATGGACTCCCCCAAGTTTCATCATCCGGATCACAATATTGCTGCATTAACATCGAACCTGGGTTCATGAATTTCTCTGCAACAAGATGATGAAGTAGAGGATCATCACTTTTGGTAATTTGATTATTCTCTTGACTCAGACCATTCAACATTGACCACGTATCATGATTATCATTATTATTATTGCCATCTTCACAGTATGGAATAATAATATTAGGTGGTGTGGGTTTCTGATATAGGATTCTGCTGGACATGAAGGAAATTGTCATTGGGATTATCATAATTGCAATGTCTGCTTTAACATCATCAGTTTTATGATGGAGACCAATGAGAGCTTGTGGGATTGGTGATGGAGTAGTAGTAATGGGATGGTATAGCTGATGATGAGGATGATGATCAGGCTGAGGATGAGACTGGTTAAGGAGGAGATGATCATTAGGGTTTGAAGAAGGGAAGAAGGTTTCAGAGGAGAGCATTATGATGATGATGGTGATGATGATGAAGAAGAAAATGATCAGAAAATGTGGAAAAAGAAGGGGGAGCATATCATGAGAAAGCAGCTTCTTCTTTATGCTTGAGTTCCAGAAGTTCTTGACCTCATTGTCAGTTCTTCCAGGTAGGTGCTTGGCAATCTGAGCCCACCTGTCAAAAACAATATGTCCATCATCAACTTGTCATAAAGAAAAAGTATAGAAAGAAAGCAACCTTTTGATAATTATTTAATATATATACATATATCTAATTACATGTAGGAACAATATGATTTGCATTTGCAGATAATTAAGGGGGAAAAAGAGGGGAAAAAAGAGAAGAGAGAAGCAGACATGTATAGGAGCCATACCTGTTGCCTAGAATGCTATGAAGCTCTATAATGAGGGCTGCTTCTTGAGAAGAGAAGCTTCCTCGTTTCAAATCAGGTCTTAGGTAATTGATCCATCTAAGTCTGCAACTTTTCCCACACCTCTGAAGACCTTCATGTTCATTCCATGAAAATTTGTCAGAACAAAAAATCGCAGTGAATTAATCATAAGAAAAAAGTTTAATTTCCAGCGGCAAGCTAAAGATCGGAAAAGCTATATATATAATACTCTGATGAAGATGAATGAAGATGAGAACGAAAAAAGAAGGGAAAGATTTACAGTTAAAGAGAGAGGTACTTATTAGTTACTGTATGAAATGAAGATGAAAAGAGAGATGTGTAAAACATTTGATTATAGAGAGATTTAAAGAAGAAATGAAAAAGAGATGGAGATATAGATATGTAAGTACCAGCAAGCTTAGGACAGAGCTCCAGCAACCATGGCCGTAAGTGTGATGTAGTTGATAAGCTTTTCATCTTCTTCAGGTGACCATAACCCTCTTTCACTTTCTGCTTGTTGCAGCAAGAATGATGCCCCATCTCTGCAAATTCGATATGATGCTATTGGCCTGATCTCTCTCTATATACCTCTTCTTCTTCTTCTTGTTACTTCTCTCACAATGATGATCTCTGATATGATCAGTTCAGAGCGAAAACTAGTGGTTTACACGGTACAGAACGAGGCCTTGGAAAACAATATATGAGGAGTACTTTTGGTGGTATTTAAAAAAGAAGATGATGGAGGGGCCTCTCTCTCTCTCCTCACACTTTTTTGAGCCCTAGGTGAGAGAGAGAAGAAGAAGGGCTTACAATATAATATCAAAAAGAGGGGGGAAAAAAAGACTGTGAGGAAAAGAATCGTATGTGAGGCAGACTGAGAAGAGGGTAATGAATTTAATGAGGGAGGGTGTACCATAAGGTGGCCCGCTTAGGGTTTGTGGCAAGGGATAAAAGCTGCATTGTCACAATGTCACCCCTCCTGCACCACTTGTACCCTTTTTAATGGCCTTTGCCTTCTTTGTCCACGTGTCACACATGCACACTGGTGGGTCCCATTAATTTATTTTGAATACATTGCGGTGATTTTTCAATTAATTAACCTTTTTACTATCCTTCTTTGGAAATCATGGCTCAAGAAGTTTACCTAGATTTATAGCGTACTCATCTTTAGGTATAGCCAATGATAATGCTTGTAATTAATTAATAAAGAAAAAGTTAATCATTTTGTGCTTGTCGTTTTTACAGGACTGTACTTAGGCCCTATAGTTTGATTTATTTATAACTCAGTTTTTAATTTAACTTAGTGTAATTCAATCTCTATAAATTAACTATTTAAAATATTAGTTTTCATATTTTAGAAAAATAAAATTGTATATTTTATGAAAGTTAGGAATTAAAATTTTAGCTGATTAAAATTATAGAAACTGAATTGCAATTAGTTAAAGTTCAAAGATCGGGTTAACTAAATCAAAATTATAGAGACTAAATTACACTTACTTATGTGGAGATTAAAATATTAATCAAAATTTTTATTAATAATATGTCTGCTAAAAGAGGCATACACACACAACACACATATATATATATATTATAAGTCGCACATATGTATATATAAATGTATTACGTATCAAATTAAGCCATTTATATAATGAATGATTATGATGGAAAAAAATATATAATGAATGATCATGATTGAAAGGAAACAAAAGAATCATATTAGTTTCAAAACCAAGCAAGCACAGCACATTAAAACCATTTCTTGAAAAACACACACACATTAAAGTTGTGAAAGTTAATGTTAAACGTGGGTGTGGCCAAACCTTCTAGATAAGATAATAATACCTCTAGTTCTTAATATAAGAGTTAGTTTGACTAATTTGAGTATATTAGGAAAATCAGTTAAACTAGTTATTTATAATAAATATGTATTGTCTTCTTTAAATATCCTTGTCCCTCACATATATTAACTAAAATTACCATTTAATCAACTTTTTAATATGTACAACTATATAAAGACTATCTTAAAAACACAGATAAATAAAATAAATTAGAGTCTTATATTTAAAACCAAACCAAATTAAATATCAATTAATTTTTACATTAAAGATATGAGGTAGTATATATTATATGATAGTAGACAATTATATGTCATCTTTACAGCAAAGTTATGCCTGTTCTAGCTTCTAGGAGATTGGCCATTCGTATTAACATAATGCACTACTTTATTATCTATATACTGTTTACTCTCGTTTAAAGATTTTTCCCCACACATTGTATATATAGGTGATAGCTAGGCAACTTTAATCTGTGATGTTTCATAACCAAAAAAATGTACTATAACAATAATATCAAATAATTTTCGTTTTACTTTCCAAAATCAGAAGGGAAAAGAAAGCATGCGCAGTTGTATACAGTAGGTAGCTAGAAATATAGGTAGTTTATTAATCCGTTTTAATTAAATATCTATAAGACGATGGATTAGGCTTAATCCCCAATATATACAAGATTGTCATCTTCAATATGGTTTCTATAACAAAGTTAATTTAAGGATGACATGGAATGGAATCACACTTGGTCAATCCATTATCGTTATTCCAGTGCCTCTTATCATTAAGCATATGATGATTTTTGTCGCCTAATTATCCTCCCTAATTAATAGCTACTCTATTAAAAATCTAGCTGACAGCACTCCAGCTTTCTCTCTCCCTCTCTCCCTCTACATGTTTTCAAAGTTTTTTTTGTTACCAGTATGTTTTCAAAGTTTACTGTTTCTATGAATAATGTATGTGATATGACATCCTATACAGTGCCTATTTGTTCTTTATTTTTCAAAAAAATACGAAGCGCAAAAGATATGCTTTTTTGCCCAAAATATCGCGTGGTTTAATTGTATGGCGAACTTTGAAAATTTGTGGCCATATATATGCCAAGACATGTAAAATAAACTTATTTCTCTTAATTAGTTTTATATATTGGAGGGAAATGTGTATAAATGAGGTTAATATATCTCTTTTCACTCAATCAATTAAAAGGATTTTTTTCGGGCGAAAAAGGAGGGGGGGAAATGTAGTAGAAGCCAGTACCTACGTTTACTGAATTTCAAAAGCACTGATTTTTAGAGAGAATTATTAGGATGTGTCCAAACAAAACATGCCATTACATCTCTAAATTGTGGACAGTTTTGGTTGGATTATTTAACTTCGCACGTGTTCTTCTACGAGGGAAACATTAAATTAAAAAAGATCCAACAACGTGAAATTTTTTTTTGGAGAAATAAAGTACATAATATGATGAGAATGGATTTCTTTACTATCACAATGATAACTGATGCATATGATGAATTTAGAAAGAGAAATTATAGAGAAAGCAAATATAATGAGTATAATGACGAGATATGGATTTGATCAATGCTCATCTGGTCCTTAATATGAGATCTATTTAACTAATTTGATTAGATTAAGGAAGTTAGGTAAGTTAGTTAATTATAAGAAAAGTAACCTATTTTTCCTAAAATACCATAATTATCTTTCTTAATACCCCATCTCCCTTTTCTATTTGATTATGGTTGAGGGAGTATCCATAGGGTAATTTAAAAAAAATTGATAAATATGATAAATGTGTCTTATATTTAGGACTAAAACCAACTCGAGAATTGGATCTTATATTAACGACTGGAGGAGTATTGTTTTTTGACCGAATGAATTTAATTAATATACGATCATATTTTTTATGTTTTCCTAATGGCCTGTGAATGCATGAACGTAGGAAATATAAAATGGACAAAATGCCATAAAAAATAATAAAATTAATTTATTTTATATATATAGAGAGAGAGAGGGAGAGAGAGAGCTAGATATTACATGATACCTTTAACTAATACTCCATCTGTCCCTTTTATAAGCAACCTTGAAGTATATCTCGTAGATCAAAAGTAAGTTAAAAATAATAAATAGATAAAAATTAAAATTTTTTTAAAGTATCCTTATTATGGGGAGAAAGAGTATAAGAAAGAAAATAAAAAAATTCATGTATATTGGTATTAAAACAAGAAATTAATAGGTGCAAGATAGAAAATTTGCTATAAAAATTTAAAACAAATTGCCAATATTTTTTATATTTAAAGACAAGAAGGAAATGGTAATTGTTACTTTAGAGAGCAAGGGAGTAACTATATTTGTCCTCCACCAATACTCTATTTATGAAGCGACATTCCGATGAGCATTTTCTTAATGGGTTGACGTTTATTTAAAGAATAATTCAAGTCAAGGGCATCTTAATTAACAATCATAATAACTTATTACTTAATGACTTCTTTAGTAATTAAATGTAAAATATCCTAAAATGACATTTATAATGAACTAAAGGGAGTAGTACGTATGATACACTCCCTAATGGCAAAAACAAAAATATGATATATTTTTTCATCCTAAATATAAAAGTTAGATAACTACACTTTTAGTCCTATTTATAAGTCACTTTCAATAAATTTTATACAGGCTAAGAAAAATCTTAAACTTCATTAAATCTCATTTAAAATTAATAACTTTTCAACTTTGTCTCTATTTAATACACATTATATCTCATGTAAACAAAATCAACACAATAATAAATGAAGGGCAAGATTATACATCCCTACAAAAAATTTGTCTTATTACCCTATATATGGAAACAAAAAATGTCTTATCTCTCTGCCTTATAAATAAGATCAGAGAAACAATTTATAAAAATTGAAAAAATTAATTAGATTAGTTATTTGTGAAAAGAAAAAGTGTGCTAGTTTCTTGAAATATTCATTCACTTGTCGAAAGCTACCCAAAATAATCTTTTAAATAATTGCAATTAATAAAAATAATTTAGAGAAAGAAACAATAAATTTGAAAAATAAATCAGATTCTTACATTTAATATCAAAATAAATATATCTACTAGCATTTACATAGAACTAAGCCAACTAGGGGAGTACCAGGCTTGGCAATTATTGATGATATTAACAGCGATCCGAGGTTAAGAGGATAAATTAACACTTTCACCTTAGGGTCATACATAGTCAACAGGGTGAAAAATATAGCTACTAATTTATTGAAGCACAGTGAAAAATGATACTTCTTGATCAATTGAAAGCCCTTTTGTTTTTTTTTATCTGTTTCTCTTTTAACAAATTGGCTTGGTGTACGGATTCAAACCCATGTAAAACATGCTTGTCTACTTAGGTGAATGAATTTCTTTTAAGTAATGATGTTTAATTATTCTTATTCTTTCTAGACAAACAAGGTATCATAGACAAGGGACAATGTACGATAATTTTTTTTGTTCCAATTCCATGATATAATTAGCATCTTGAATTATTTGATACATATATAGCTATCTATATCTTTGAGATCAGAAACTAAATGAGAGACGTGTTATGTCACTCAACTTTCAAGAGTTATTAGCTACATAAAGAGAGCAACAACACTATTCAAATGAACTTATCTACTCCCTCTTGCCTATTTACAAAGGGTCAACAAGCTATTCATACAGACAAAAAATAACATATATCAT